TCCAGTAGTTATTAATTACTTGTCCTGTTGTCCAGTAGTTATTAAATAATTGTCCTGTTTTCAGTAGTTATTAACTTCTTGTCCTGTTGTCCAGTAGTTATCATGCACTTGTCCTGTTGTCCAGGGGTTATCATGGACTTGTCCTGTTGTCCAGTTGTTATGATGTACTTGTCCTGTTGTCAATAGTTATTAAGTACTTGTCCTGTTGTCCAGTAGTTATCATGTACTTGTCCTGTTGCCAGTAGTTATCATGTACTTGTCCTGTTGTCAGTAGTTATCATGTACTTGTCCTGTTGTCCAGTAGTTATCATGTACTTGTCCTGTTGCCAGTAGTTATCATGTACTTGTCCTGTTGTCAGTGGTTTTTAAGTACTTGTCCTGTTGTCCAGTAGTTATCAAGTACTTGTCCTGTTGTCCAGTAGTTATCATGTACTTGTCCTGTTGTCCAGTAGTTATTAAGTACTTGTCCTATTGTCAGTAGTTATCATGTACTTGTCCTGTTGTCAGTGGTTTTTAAGTACTTGTCCTGTTGTCCAGTAGTTATCAAGTACTTGTCCTGTTGTCCAGTAGTTATCATGTACTTGTCCTGTTGTCAGTAGTTATCATGTACTTGTCCTGTTGTCNGTTATTAAGTACTTGTCCTGTTGTCCAGTAGTTATCATGTACTTGTCCTGTTGTCCAGTAGTTATCATGTACTTGTCCTGTTGTCCAGTAGTTATCAAGTACGTGTCTTGTTGTCCAGTAGTTATCAAGTACTTTTTCTTTTATAGACCATAAAACAAAAAATTATGTGCAGAAATCAAACAAATCATAATCTATAGACCACCAAAAAAGTCTATAGACCACAAACAAATCATGTTCTTGACTTCTCCATTAAAACATGATCGTGGCTCAGATGGCCTCTCTGTTCAATTTTTTAATGTATTTTGGAAACATCTTGAGCATTTCATTGGTAGGTCAATATAGATATCAGCGGTATTGTTGTAAATAACAAAGAAAAATCTTTAAATGTAACGTTACAACAACTTAACTATTATGCCAGAATTTCAGGTCTTAAAATGAATTTCACCAAGACCCAGGTAATCTGGATAGGCAGTGAAAAATATAGTAATAATAAATATACAACAGAGCACTATTTTTTGTGGGAAAGTACAAATTTTAATCTGCTAGGCATAGACATGACTCTTATATAAAAAAATAAAATAACATATTATACAAATTTCTGTGGTTTAGAAAGACTGATAAAGTTAAATGTGATGTTATAATTAAGTCATACGAACAGGGTGGTTTGAAAATGATTCAAAGGTCTTTTATACCTGCACTAAATACAAAATACATGTTTTCCCAATGGCAATTGGATTGGAAGTTAGTAATAATGAACTTTGTGTTGTAAATATAGTGTAAATATAAATGTACTTATTTTGTTGTTCAATTAATTGAACTAATGGCAGTGGAGATTGAGAACAGAAAGCATCAGCTAAGAATACAAAAGAGAATGTAACACTGGTGGCCATCAGTGGAGTTTACTAGTGTAT